GGGGAGTGTCAGGCGACTGCATCCCTGCCTTCCGAGCATGTCAGGGGCAGGAATTCCAGCTACCCGGCACGGCTGGGGCTGCTTTGGGGAGGGAGGTGGACATGGAGTGCAGGAAGGAGAAGTGTCTGTGGACAGCACAGCAGTGCCAAGCATGCTTCCTCCTCATCATCTCTGGGGTTTACATGGCTTTTTAAACTTGGCCTTGTCTTCTCTCCAGACTCAGCTGCCTGGCATGGCTTGCTGAGTCCAGCTGTTGAGAGTTGGGGGCAGAGGTACCGCGCTTCCCACATGTTCTCCTTTTGTTCTAGCGTCTGTCTGGCATCCGCTGGGACTTTCTCCAGCCTTGTGCTTTCTGAGCATACACACCAGGGGAGTGGCAAGGGCGGGCTGGCGGGGGCGTGTCCGGAGTGGGGGGGACTCAGCTGTCACAAAGGGTACATTCCTCCAGGCATGGGCGGCACGTGTGCTAGCCACACGGCCCCGCCCTTTTTGCCCAAGGCCCCACCCCTACCTGAACGCCCCTTCCCCCCCCCCCGCCCCGGCCAGAGAAGCCCCAGCCAAACCTCTTTCCCCACATTCCCCAGTGCCCCGGGTGACACCCAGGGGAGGCTGGCAGAAGAGAGGGCGGGCCCTCTCCCTGCTTTCTGCCCTGGGTCACACCAAGGAAGGATGGCGGGAGACAGCTCCAGGATTGGGCCACCGGACCGCCCCAGCGCTGGCCCCAAGTGCCGGGCCACCCCCAGCGCCAGCCTGCTGGTCTCCAACCAGCAATGGAGCTGAGCTCCCGCCAGCTTGGGCACCAGCATGGCCAAGGCCAGGGTTTGGCTTAGGGTTATACCTGTTATACCCACCGCCCATGCCGCCAGGTGATCAACGACCAACCACATCCTTCCAGTCCAGTTCAACGTTAGCAACTGGTCTTCATGGAGACCCCCTGGAACATGAAGAGGGGACGTTGGAGGGGATCCTCGGAACTCAGCCCCTGGGTTCTCTGTAAAACCCCTTGGACGTTCAGGTTCAGCCACCTGCCATCATTCCCAGGGTAATACAGGGTGCTCATTCTCTCTCCATGTACTTGGCCTCCAATGGAGAGGGCCCACTGGGGGTGGTGGTTTCTGGGACCACGATAGGTTGGCCTCTGGGCCCCACTGGCTTGTTCCACCCAGGCCACCAAATGACAGCAATGTTCATAAGAACATAAGAAGGACCATGTCCAACCAATGGTCCATCCAGCCCAGTGTCCTGTCCTCTGACAGTGGCCAATGCCAGGTGCTTCAGAGAGAATGAATAGAACAGGGCCATTATCTAGTGAGCCATCCCGTCATCCCGTCCCAGCTTCTGGCAGTCAGAGGCTTAGGGACACCCAGAGCATGGGGTTGCACCCTGACCATCTGGGCTAATAGCCAGTGACGGACCTATCCTACGTGAACTTATTGAATTATTTACTGAACCCAGTTACAGTTTTGCCCTTCATAACACCCCCGGCAGCGAGCTCCACGGGCTGGCTGTGCGCTGTGTGCAGAAGTCCTTCCTTGTGTTTGTTTTACAAAGAGGGGAGGAAAGGGAGGAAGAACAAGAGAGCTGTGCTCCCCATTCCAGTCCATCTGCCCCCCACGTTTGCTTCTCGCTGCAAGATCCCTCCGCTCCAAGACTCCGCAGGCTGCAGACGAAAGGGCCTGATCCTGGTTACTCAGCCCCTTGTGCAGCCATTTGCACCAGGGGTCCACTCACCCCACATCAGAACAGGAGCTCTGTAAACCCACTTGGCACTGGGCGACCACACATGATGCCGGGCAGAGGAGAATCTGCTCCCCCCCACACACACACAAACACACGCTGGAGAAGGAGATTCCTCCAGGGCAAGGCTGGGCAAGCCCCAGAAATGGGACATGAAACCTGGAGGGGCCGGTCCTGCCCTGGATGGACTGGTTGGGTGGTTAATGTCTGGGACTGTGGGTGGCTATGGCCTTGGGGACCTCTCCAGCTGACTCGAGGGGCAGTGTCCATGGGATCTGCACAGAGCCCTTATCTACTCTCAGCTGGGAAGAGCGTCTTGAGCCTTAGAGACTCGGGCTGAGGAGAAATTGCAGACGAGGACATTTCTAGGACTCAGACCATCCCCCGATGAGCAAGCGGGGAAGAGATCTTGAAATGGCAGATGCAAAAAAAAGAGATGCTGCCCCTTTAAAAGTCAGAGCCAGGCGATGAGTAACCATGGAGACGGCTTTGACTCTTGACAGTGAGGACTGCAGGCTCTTTGTTGGGACTAGTAGCAATTAACCGCAATTACTGCTGCAATACTCCTGGTTCCCTTTGACACTGGGAAATGAGAATGAGCGTTTCCTCAGGGGGAGAGGGCCGAGAGCTCTTCTCTTTATGCCACTTGCACACTCAGGAGAGGCTCTCCCACCTTGGCAGATGTTGCTGGTGAAGTTAAGGGGCGTCTGAACTTTCTTCAGGTCTCATCACTACAGAACCAGGAGCAAAACTAGTTGAAGAGACAGGCCAGATTCATTCCAGGGACGTGGCCGATTAGATTAGATCAGAGTAGATAAAATGCCATTTCACCTCCTGCTGAAATGCAGCTGCCTCTGGGCTACAGCACTCCACCTGTTATAACCCCTCACAATAGTTCAGGGCAGGAAGTGAAAAAGAATATTGTATGCAACTGAAAACTTCCAAGGGAGTTTCAGGGATGCAGAGTGGAATTGTCCACTCTGGACTCTGGCCAGGATGCCACAGCTAATCCCCCACCTCGGATGAAAAATGCTGGGGGTGGGGTAAGTAATTGCAAGTGCATCAGGATCTCACCCGTGTCTCTCCCAAAATGTGACGTCACTCCCGGAAGAATGACAATGAAATGGTCAGTGTTTGATAGCACCTGGTGCGCCAGGAGCTGGTATCGCCGCCGGAGAGCTCGATGTAGAGTGTAAGGCGAGGTGAGGAAGATCTCTGGTCCCTCCTCCTGCTGCGTCTTGGGAGGGAAGCCTGGCTTTGTTAATGGGTGCTGTGTCTTCCCAATGCATCTGCCCTACTGCCATCCCCACGATGGCTGTCTGCTCCACATAGGGTGACCAGATGTCCCGATTTTATAGGGACAGTCCCTATTTTTGGCTCTTTTTCTTATATAGGCTCCTATTACCCCCCACCCCCGTCCAGATTTTTCACACTTGCTGTCTGGTCACCCTGGCTCCACACTGCAAATGCCTCTTGGAGTAGAAACTCTCCTTCAGGTCAGAGGCGAGATGTGGGGGGAGGCATTGCCCGATTTCTGCCAGGGTCGGACTTGGGCTGAGCACAGCTGAAGGGGACATGCCTGGGAAAGGCACCTAGCACTCCTGCTGAGCCCACTAGGAGGCGCCCAGAGCAGGGAAGAGAGCCAGGCATGGCAGCGCAGCTCTGCCAAAGGGGGCATGGGGAAGCCCTCTGAGTCCTGTCCCTTCCTCGCCCACAGCCACAGTTCCCTGCTCAGCAGTAGGTATCCGGAGCCCGCTCCAGTCCGCGCTGCGCCTGCAGCGGGCAGGCACTGGGAGATCTATGTGGGGAGGAGCTGTGAAGGGGGAGGGGGCAAGGAAGTGCTGGCTTGGAGCAGGTGTGGGAGGCACAAGGGGGAGTGGGAAAGGGGCCAGAGGCAACACGTAGGGTGGTCACGTGCCCCCCAACCTTTAAATTGTGCCCCCCCATCAAGAGTGACAGGTCATTTCTGCTTCTTCTCACACCTCAGCTGGTTGGGAACAGCAGTGGGTCGGTCAGGAAGGTCAGTTAAGCACCCACAAGCTCAGATGCTTTCTAAGTCTCCGGGTTTGGAATATTGTGCAATTAAGGATTCACATGAGTGTGAGCGAGCACCGGTGTGATCCCACATAAGTCGGTTGGTCAGTCTATTGTCATACTCTCTAGCTATCATATTTATAAGGTGCCTGTCATCTCAGGCTCTGGTATATTTCCAGTACTTCCTGCATTTGCTTGGATTGGAAATCCTGTGCCAACAGCCTTCCTCACGGTACCTGAGCACTTTCCGATCCCGATGGCATCCAGGGGAAATAAAGAGGTGTGCGTGGGAAATGATCTGACCATGTTGAGGCTTGAAGAAAGGCCTGTTTCAGGTCTGGCTGTGAAGGCCCAGGGGTCGGTAGTTATCTGCCCAGCCCTGGTCCAGAACCAGCTTTAGATCATAACGTCTCTATTGCTCGCCATTTCCGTGAAATCGCGTAAAGGACCATTCCCAAGGCCCTGCTGCGTGACCCTTGTAAACCCTTCTAACCCGGGCTCAAGTCCCCAAGACCAAGAGCCTGAGGCCTTTCCCACACTGACCGTTTGCTCCAGTGAAGCCGCTGGGGTAGCTGTGCAGGTGCAGATCGAGGCTGAGCTGTGTGCCCCAATGGCTGGAACTGGGGCAGGCCCCCAGGGTAGGCATCATCTCTGCTGCAGGAGTGCTGGGCTGGCACCTGTCTTACACCACAGTAGGGTTCTTACTCTTCAGGGTGAGCCCCAGGGAACGAGTCCTGCCTGGAAGCGAGTCCTGGTCTCCTCTCAGCAGGTGGGGTCTCCTGGGATCAGGGTTAGGACCCCCTGGGAGAGCAGAATGGGGATGACAAAGAGTGGCTGGGCCTGACTTGTTTGGTGCTTCCCTGTCCTGGAGCCAGGGTATGGGTCCCACCTTGGCTGACACAACCAGGATTGAACTGGGACCTTCAGAGCGAAAAGCATGAGCTGCTGAAGCTCTGTGAGTGGGGCTGTAGCAGACTCCTGGCCTCTGCAGGCTGGGCACAGAGTGGACCTAGCACACGTGTGTCAGTGGGTTACGCCAGCACCTGGCGTGCAGCCTACAGCTGGGCTGCCCAGGGAACGTTTGGCGCAGAATGTTATGTGCCCACATCCATACTCACTGCCCCCCACTCTTCCCCTCCTCTTTATTTCCTCCCCTCTCCACCCCTCCATCCTGGCCTCAGATTTCTCCCCAGTCACTTTACTCTCTGTTCTTTCCGTTGATTTCCCAGGGTGTTTGAATTGCAGCAAAGTGGTGGAACTGACGGCGCGTCTCAACAGCCTGGAAGCCAAGGTCAGTGTCTACGTGGCAGGGGTTGGAGGTGGGATGTGAGTAAAGGATCAGGGAGCACAGGGTATGGTACGAGAACCAGCGTGACCTTCTCGCCTCAGAACTTTGCATCTCACGGAGGTTGGGATCAATGGTGAGTCTGACGTTTACCCCTGGATCCCAGTGAAATCTCATGGAAATGTAGAAAGAGGTCGGCTAGTCCAGCCCCCGATATTCTGTGTCACACTCGGAGTGGGGCTGCCAGCTTGTTCATTTTAAACAATTGTCTTTCTTTTTTCATCAACATTTTGTGCTGTCATTTCTTTAAGTATTTTTGTTTATTATTCTTCATTTCTCCCTTCTTTTCTTTTTGCCTTGTTCCTACTGGAGAGGTTCTTCTTTCTTTTTCTGCCCAGAAATGCAATTCCTGGGCACCTCCTTTGTCCTGCAATTCCTGTTTTACCCTTTGAAATGAAAAGAACTTCAACATTTCAAAATGTTGGGGCAAAATTGCATTTGTTTTGTTTTCAGCCAGCTGTGCCAGCCCCAGGAGCAGACAGCTGTCTCTCTGTGGTACTGACACAACTCCCATTACAGAGAGCACCTCAGTGTATTTATCCTCATGACCTCCAAGGAGGCAGGGCAGCACTATTATCCCCATTTTTACAGAGAAGCTAAGTGACTTACCCATGGTCACACGTGAAGTCTGTGGCAGAGGGGGAATTGTGCCTGAGTCCTGGACTTAGCCACTGGACCACCCAGCCTTTCTCCATAGACATGCACCGTATGGAGGAGGAGGTCAGTCCCCAACAGATAATCCATCTCCCTCCCACAGGAATTGCAATTCCAAAGCACTCGAAAAGTTGTCTAGGACAAGGCAGAGCACAGCCAGGGTGTGGCGTGGCTGTTCAGAGGCTGAGTGCTTTCTGAACCAGGTGGGATTTTAACGGTTGACATTTCAGGTTGCTGTAAGCATTTAGGGGAGGACAGATGGTCTTGTGGTTATTAAACCATGGGACACCAAACTCCTGGGTTCTGTTCACAGCTCTGCCACTCAGGCGTATGTGGGCGAGTTACCTGTGCCAATGCTGTGAAGCCCCAGCACCTGAGACACACACAACTAACAGGCCCTGCAGACCAGACTGTAGGGGACTGGCCTGGCAATGGAGGGGATGAGAGGTGGATCTGGTGCCTGGTGATATGAATGGTCTCCAGTTGGGGTGACACCGGGCCATAGGGTGTGTTCCCTAGGAGATGACATTCCGTGGGATGGACTGTCTGAGGGCTCCAGAAGTGTCACTAAGACCAGTTGGCTTGTGGCCCTGAGGAATGTGCTGGTGAGGTTCTGTTGTGATCCTATCACCCATCAGGGCTCAATGTCATAGGGAGGCCAGTGTATTAATGATCTGGAGGATGGAGTGGATTGAACCCTCAGCAAGTTTGCAGATGACACTAAACTGGGAGGAGTGGTAGATACGCTGGAGGGTAGGGATAGGATACAGAGGGATCTAGACAAATTAGAGGATTGGGCCATTAGAAATCTGATGAGGTTCAATAAGGACAAGTGCAGAGTCCTGCACTTAGGACGGAAGAATCCCATGCTCTGCTTCAGACTAGGGACCGAGTGGCTAGGCAGCAGTTCTGCAGAAAAGGACCTAGGGGTCACAGTGGACGAGAAGCTGGATATGAGTCAACAGTGTGCCCTTGTTGCCAAGAAGGCTAACAGCATTTTGGGCTGTATAAGTAGGGGCATTGCCAGCAGATCAAGGGACATGATCATTCCCCTCTATTCGACATTGGTGAGGCCTCATCTGGAGTACTGTGTCCAGTTTTGGGCCCAAGAAGGATGTGGAAAAATTGGAAAGAGTCCAGCGGAGGGCAACAAAAATGATTAGGGAGCTGGAGCACATGACTTATGAGGAGAGGCTGAGGGAACTGGGATTGTTTAGTCTGCAGAAGAGAAGAATGAGGGGGGATTTGATAGCTGCTTTCAACTACCTGAAAGGGAGTTCCATAGAGGATGGAGCTAGGCTGTTCTCAGTGGTACCAGATGACAGAACAAGGAGCAATAGTCTCAAGTTGCAGTGGGAGAGGTCTAGGTTGGATATTAGGAAACACTATTTCACTAGGAGGGTGGTGAAGCACTGGAATGGGTTACCTAGGGAGGTGGTGGAATCTCCTTCCTTAGAGCTTTTTAAGGTCAGGCTTGACAAAGCCCTGGCTGGGATGATTTAGTTGGGGTTGGTCCTGCTTTGAGCAGGGGGTTGGACTAGATGAACTCCTGAGGTCCCTTCCAACCCTGAGATTCTATGATTAGGGGTTTGGGCTACCAGGTTAACCCTCTGTGTGCTTTAACCTTTGCTCTGCTTTAGACCTGGCATCAGAAATAGCCCCAGGGACTCACAGGCAACCCAGGGTCTCCCACTCCAGGCCCTCCCAGAGATTAGTGCTTGATCTCAGCAGGTGCGCCAGGCCATGGAAGTTGGGCACCTACCGCCTAAAGGCCCAAGTGACTATGTCCTAGAAAGAGTCCCCATGGCTCTGACCAGGACTTTGGCACAAGGAAGGAACAATCAGTTTCACACATACAGAATGGGAAGAGACTGTCTAGGAAGGAGTACAGCAGAAAGGGATCTAGGGGTTATAGTGGACCACAAGCTAAATATGAGTCAACAGTGTGATGCTGTTGCAAAAAAAGCAAACATGATTCTGGGATGCATTAACAGGTGTGTTGTGAGCAAGACACGAGAAGTCATTCTTCCACTCTACTCTGCGCTGGTTAGGCCTCAACTGGAGTATTGTGTCCAGTTCTGGGCACCGCATTTCAAGAAAGATGTGGAGAAATTGGAGAGGGTCCAGAGAAGAGCAACAAGAATGATTAAAGGTCTAGAAAACATGACCTATGAAGGAAGGCTGAAAGAATTGGGTTTGTTTAGTTTGGAAAAGAGAAGATTGAGAGTGGACATGATAGCAGTTTTCAGGTATCTAAAACGGTGTCATAAGGAGGAGGGAGAAAACTTGTTCATCTTAGTCTCTAAGGATAGAACAAGAAGCAGTGGGTTTAAACTGCAGCAAGGGAGGTCTAGGTTGGACATTAGGAAAAAGTTCCTAACTGTCAGGGTGGTTAAACACTGGAATAAACTGCCTAGGGAGGTTGTGGAATCTCCATCTCTGGAGATATTTAAGAGTAGGTTAGATAAATGTCTATCAGGGATGGTCTAGACAGTATTTGGTCCTGCCATGAGGGCAGGGAACTGGACTCGATGACCTCTCGAGGTCCCTTCCAGTCCTAGAATCTATGAATCTATGAAACAAGGAAATAGAAACTGTTCCCAAGAACCCAGCCCAGGTTTTCCATACGACTCTTTGCACACCAGGGACTTGTCTCCATGCAGAGTAGCAGGGATGTAAGGTGCAGGAGGCTGTGTGGACACTCTGACCTGGGTTAACCCTGCTTCTCGAGTGCAGTTGTTCCATGAATAACTGCAGCAGCACAGCCCATGCATTCACTGTCCAGCTAGGTGTGTCTGAGCACTGCGGCCTTGCAGAGGCAACAGGACCATATGCCCTGTCCGTACAATGGAGAACAGTGCTGTGTCCCCCGGACCCTGTCCACAGGTGCTGGGTCAAGCTCACAAATGGGACCAGAGCAGGCAGTTATGGGTAGGGCCCTACCAAATTCATGGCCATGAAAAATGCGTCGCGGACTGTGAAATCTGGTCTTTTGTGTGCTTTTACCATATACTCTACCGATTTCACGGGGGAGACCAGCATTTCTCAAACTGGGGGTCCTGACCCAAAAGGGAGTTGCGGGGGGGGGGGGCGCAAGGTTATTTTAGTGGGGAATCGTGGTATTGCCACCCTTACTTCTGTACTGTCTTCAGGGCTGGGCGGCCAGAGTGGCAGCTGCTGACTGAGGGCCCAGCTGTGCAGGCAGCAGTGCAGAAATAAGGGTGGCAACACCATACCATGCCAGCCTTACTTCTGCGCTGCTGCTGGCAGCGGCTCTGCCTTCAGAGCTGGGCTCCCGGCCAGCAGGTGCCGCTCTCCAGTTGCCCAGCTGAGCTCTGAAGGCAGCGCCACCGCCTGCAGCAATAAGGGTAGCAGTACCGCACCCCCCCTACAATAACCTTGCGAAACCCCCCCAGCTCCTTTTTGGGTCAGGACCCCTACAATTACAACACCGTGAAATTTCAGATTCAAATAGCTGAAATCATGAAATTTACTATTTTTAAAATCCTATAACCATGAAATTGACCAAAATGGATCGTGAATATGGTAGGGCCATAGTCATGGGATAGAACAGAGGGAATGGTGGGCTTTGACCCCTAATGCCCACAGTTCCCTGAGAGGTACCTGGGTATCTCACAATACACAGCAACAGTTTTCTACAAGGCAGCGTGCCTGAAGGTGGCTTGGAGGATGCCAGGATGCAACGTGCTTTTGCCAAATCAGCATGAAGCACCACCCCGAGCAGCTAAGTGCGAGCGCATCATGCTGAACAGCTGGTGGCACTAAGCAGACAGAACTTTTACTGGTTCACATTTCCAGTGTGACAAGGCCTTACAAAGTGGTTTAAGCTAAATCAACATAAGCTGCTTTTAAACTGAACTAGGGGTGTCCACACAAGGGCTAACTGAACCAGTTTAATTCAGCTGATGCAAGTTTGTGCAGAGACAAGGGCTACCAAGTCAGAACACCAAGGTCCTCAAGCCCCATTCCGTGCATTCAGCAACAGGGCCGCCCAGAGGATTCAGGGGGCCTGGGGCAAAGCAATTTTGGGGGCCCCTTCCATTAAAAAAAAGTTGCAATACCATAGAATACTATATTCTCGTGGGGGCCCCTGTGGGGCCCGGGGCAAATTGCCCCACTTGCCCCCCCCCTCTGGGCGGCCCTGTTCAGCAAAGCTTCAAGTTCCTCCCCTCAACCCCAAAGCTCTGAATGTCTAGGACAATGCTGAGCTTCCTCCATAGAAGTGCAACCCCAGACCCTTGGGTGGGTGGGACATCAGGGGAGATTGAACCTGTGACTTCTGGATTGTAAACCATGAGCCTCTGCTGAAAGGTTCTGCTGAGAGCAAGGCTCACTCTGCTGCAGCAGGCTCACCAACCTCGGAAGGGCATGCTGAGTGGCTGTGGGTGACAGCCGTAAGTGCAGAACCGTAGTGGAGAGAGGAGATAGGCTCCAAGTCTGGCTAGCGCAGTATGTCCGGGCGCACTGCTGGGAACTCTCTCTTGCTCGTAGGTGGCGTTGCTGTCAGCGGCAGAGCCTGCAACCTCCCCAGTACCCAACAGACACCTCGTAACCAAGGGGGCTGCCCCCTCGGATTCCTACCAGCTCTGGGGGTCTCCATCCACCCACGGGAGCCCTGGGGATGAAGGTGTGAAAGGTAAGTGAGAGCAGGTGCTGCTAGGGAGGAGCTGAGGCAGCCGGAGGCTGCAGGCAGGAAGCCATTCTGAGAGCCGGGTGTGTGTTTCCTGCCTAGATCAAGATCCTTCCTGCCCCTGCAGAAATCCACATGCCCCAGGTCCCCTCCATGCCTGGCCCTGGAGATGGAACAAGCAGGAGTCCATTGGCGCTAAGCATGGGGGCTGGGCCTTTCCATCAGTTCAGAGCCCAGTCCTGCCCAATGCACTCAAGCAAAGCTCCCAGTTTGGTCTGAGTGAGGATAGCAGGATGGGCCCTTGACGCTGCAGGAAGTTCTGTGCCCTGGCTCGAGTGGGATGGCAGAGGGTCTCCATTGCCCCAAATCTCAGCCTGATGTCCAGGGCTGCATTAACACATAGGGCTCAAAATCCTAGGCCAGCATCCTCCTCCTCGCTGTGCCAAGGGGGCAGCTTCACCCTCCACCATGGCAGCTGCCACCTTAATCTCGGCCTGATGCAGAGGGGACACTGGAGGGTGAGGGGGTTGGAGAGTGCACCCATCTTGCACTCACCCCACAGTGGCAGGTCCTGTCCCACAAGGCTGGGAGAAGAGTGTTTGCCTAGGGCCCAGTGATGGGTGAATCCATCCGGGCTGATATCCCCACTCACCTTTCCCTGGGTTCCTCCACTCTGCCCTGTTGTCCTTTTACTTGTAACTTTCTTAAGGCTTAAAATCTCTCCTGAGCCTCCAGACTCTTCAGCTGCGAAGTCCCGTCATCACCCCAAAGCTCTGCCCCAATCCCAGTTTAGGTCAACACATTCCACCTCCCAAACACTCCCTTGGGTTTCAGTTGCACATGGGATTCTTCTTGGCCGTTGCAGTGCGCTATTAAACAGCTGCTGTGTTCTACCCCAGAGGTGGCAGCAATTCAGCAGCGCTGCAGTTACAGAGGTATTCTGCAGTTAAAAAGTCGCTAGAGGCAAAAGCAAAGTAACTATTAAAAGCAATTCTTATTTGCACTTCCAGAAGAGTCAGAAGTCAGGAATCCCGTTGTGCCAGGTGCTGTGTGCACATGTGATGAAGAGACAGGGGGCTGGGGAACATGACTAGACAAATTAGAGGATTGGGCCAAAAGAAACCTGATGAGGTTCAACAAGGACAAGTGCAGAGTCCTGCACTTAGGACGGAAGAATCCTATGCACTGCTACAGACTAGGGACCGAATGGCTAGGTAGCAGTTCTGCAGAAAAGGACCTAGGGGTCACAGTGGACGAGAAGCTGGATATGAGTCAACAGTGTGCTCTTGTTGCCAAGAAGGCTAATGGCATTTTGGGCTGTATAAGTAGGGGCATTGCCAGCAGAGCGAGGGACGTGATCGTTCCCCTTTATGCGACATTGGTGAGGCCTCATCTGGAGTACTGTGTCCAGTTTTGGGCCCCACACTACAAGAAGGATGTGGAAATATTGGAAAGAGTCCAGCGGAGGGCAACAAAAATGATTAGGGGTCTGGAGCACATGACTTATGAGGAGAGGCTGAGGGAACTGGGATTGTTTAGTCTCCAGAAGAGAAGAATGAGGGGGGTTTGATAGCTGCTTTCAACTACCTGAGGGGGGGTTCCAAAGAGGATGGAGCTCAGCTGTTCTCAGTGGTGGCAGATGACAGAACAAGGAGCAATGGTCTCAAGTTGCAGTGGGGGAGGTCTAGGTTGGATATTAGGAAACACTATTTCACTAGGAGGGTGGTGAAGCACTGGAATGCTTTACCTAGGGAGGTGGTGGAATCTCCTTCCTTGGAGGTTTTTAAGGCCCGGCTTGACAAAGCCCTGGCTGGGATGATTTAGTTGGGAATTGGTCCTGCTTTGAGCAGGGGGTTGGACTAGATGACCTCCTGAGGTCCCTTCCAACCCTGATATTCTATGATTCTATGACTCATGACAGAGATTCTCAACCTTTTTCTTTCTGAGGCCCCCCAAGAAGCTATAAAAACTCCACGGCCCCCTTGTGCCACAATAACTGATTTTCTGCATATAAAAGCCAGGGCCGATGTTAGGGGGTAGCAAACAGGGCAATTGTCTGGGGCCTCACACCACTGGGGGCCCTGCAAAGCTACATTGCTCAGGCTTTGGCTTTAGCCCCAGATGGCAGGGTTCAAGGCCCCAGACTTCACACCTAAGCAGTGGGGCTTTGGCTTTCTACCCTGGGCCCCAGTGAGTCTAACACTGGCCCTGCTTGGAGGACCCCCTGAAACCTGCTTGTGGCCCCCCAGGGAGCCCCGGACCCCTGGTTGAGAACCACTGACTTATGAGAAGAGGCTGAGGGAACTGGGCTTATTTAGTCTGCAGAAGAGAAGAGTGAGGGGGATTGTATAGCAGCCTTCAACTACCTGAAGGGGGGTTCCATTGAGGATGGAGCTAGAGTGTTCTCAGTGGTGGAGATGACAGAACAAGGAGTAATGGTCTCAAGTTGCCGTGGGGGAGGTCTAGGTTGGATATTAGGAAACACTATTTCACTAGGAGGGTGGTGAAGCACTGGAATGGGTTACCTAGGGAGGTGGTGGAATCTCCATCCTTAGAGGTTTTTAAGGCCCGGCTTGACAAAGCCCTGGCTGGGATGTTGGTGTTGGTCCTGCTTTGAGCAGGGGGTTGGACTAGATGACCTCCTGAGGTTTCTTCCAACCCTAATCTTCATGATTCTATGACAGCCTTTGCCCCAGGTGCCTGCAGTCTGTCATATGAACATGCAGAAAAACGTAGCAACAAGGGAGAATCAAAT